TTTTTTAGATTCCACATATGAGCGATCTCATATGGTGTTTTTCTTTCTCTCTCTGGCTGACTTCACTTAGAAGGACATTCTCCAGGAACATCCATGTTGCTGCAAATGGTGTTATGTTGTCAGTTTTTATGGCTGAGTAGTATTCCATTGTGTATACAATGGAATACACCACATCTTTATCCAGTTGTATACACAATGGAATACACCACATCTTTATCCAGTCATCTGTTGATGGACATTTAGGCTGTTTCCATGTCTTGGCTATTGTAAATAGTGCTGCTATGAACATTGGGGTGCAAGTGTCTTTTTGAAGTAGGGTTCCTTCTGGATATATGCCCAGGAGTGGGATTACTGGGTCATGTGGTAAGTCTATTCCTAGTCTTTTGAGAAATCTCCATACTGTTTTCTACAGTGACTGCACCAAACTGTATTCCCACCAGCATTGTAGGATGGTGTCCTTTTCTCCACAGGAGAGAAAGGTGATTTAAATGCTCTATACTTACCTTGGCTAAAGTGTTTAAAATTGGTAGATTGAGAACCAGGAGTCAAAGCATACTCAGCTGTTTTTAACTTTTTCTTTTATACCTTCCTATACTATTTGAACAATTTTCCTAAGAAAACAGATGTATTCCTTTTACTCTCCTCCCCCCCAAAAAAACAAAGACCCCCCCCAAAAAAAAAGCAAAAAGTAGGTGGAATTTTATACTGAAAAGTGAAGAAAGCTTGTTGCTAGGAAGAAAAGTTGGTGTAATTCTGCTATATATTTATTATCAGACTTCAGATGAGGCTTAAGCCTCCTTCATTACTGAAACTTGAAAGAGTGAAGGAAAGTAAGGTCATGAGGAAGATTCTGTGGACAACTGAGTAGTATTTGTGTGAAGGTTTTTCAGTTCTGTAAACTTAATTTGCAGTGTTTGATACAGTAGCTATGATTCTAGCACAGTCTTCGAAATTCAAGCAGTGTCTTAAGTATTTTATGTGAATGCAACTAATTGTTGAAGAAAATATATTTGAGGAAGTATAAATTCCAGTTGCTTTCTGCTTTTCTTCTGTAATGGAGGTGAAAAACTGAAATGTGTACCAGCATGGTAGCGAACTGGTTAATGACTATTCACATAGTCTTTCCTTTGTCCCTTTTCGAGCAGAAGGGTATATGTAATTGGATATTAGGGTCACATATTTTGAACTTTGTAATGTTGTTGGTCTGTATTATGAGAGATGCCTTCTTAAGAAGGAAATTTCAATTGTGATGCTTTTATCAAAAGGAAGCTTTGACACATTCTGTGCCAGTGTGGTGACTGTGGGTCACCTACACTGGAGTGACCTGCTCTGAATATGTAACAGAAGGATGAAGTGCTTGGCCTTGTTGCTCCTCCTGCTCTTTGTGCCATGAGTATCATTGATAGTTTAGTCTTGAGGTCCCATAGCAGACCTTCTAAGTTTCTGCTCTAAGAAAGATAACTGAAAGCCCTTGCAGCAAAGAGAAGGGAGAATTGGGCAAGGGAGATGGTTAGAAGAGAGGCTAGAAAAGGACAAACAAGAGTTAAATTTCAGAAGACTAGAGACCATCAGTGACAGTTTCACCTTGCACTCCCCTGACCTGTATTTGTGTCCTCCATAGTCTCTTGTGCGTAAGGTCCCTGAGAAGTATAGGCACTCCTGAGAGTAGTAGCATAGGAATTTTGATTTTAGACAGGGTGAGGTATATGTAGTGTTCCTTATTTTTGGTGAAATGTATTTGCAGTATATTATGGGCATCATTATGAAAGATTTATTGCTCGGTCTGTGCTTGAAAGTGCCCAAATATAATTTGTATACTATACTTACAAAGTGCCCCACAGAAATATTGCCAGTGTCAGTAAATTAACAGTAAGGATCTTGTTTTTCCTTTGGTCTCACTCTTGCCCTGGATAAATAGAGTTTTTTTTCCTCCCAAGGTGTAGACTAACCATTTATTAGGGAAAAGCATACCATTTATGGTTGTGAATTATAGTTGTTACAGGAACAGGGTCATAATCCTTGTTCCACATTGAATTCCAAGTGCAACAGATATACACAAAGTACCTATATGTGTCAGCCATTCAGAGAGGACCAGGACACAGCCCTGTCTACCAGAGTTTAGAGCCAGATGGAAGATATGAGATGAATACCCACACACCTTTTATCTGTTAACATAGACAGTGAAAGAGAGACTAACATTTCTAGCCTGATGGCTCAAGGAAACAAATCACTTTCCCAGACATTTGAGATTGACTGAGTCTTTTTCTGGCAAAGAGATTGACTTTGTTTTCTTTACTCTCATATTCTGCCATTGCTTTTGTTCTGGAGGTGGTACTGGTCAAGAGAGAATGGTATGAAAGCAGCAGTGACAGAGTACTCAGCAGTTCATAGATAGATTGCATGGTTGTCCCCTAGTTAACTGAGAGCTGCTGTCCATCCCTGCTGATTAATTCTTAAGGTAAATACCGAGATGAAAAATTTGCAGAATTGATTTCCGAATGTTAGTAATGACCTAGTTATTTAATGTACTATTCAACTCATTCCCCCAATTTTAATAATATTAGTTACTATTTCTATGGCACTGTCTATATGTCAGGTGCTTTTCTAAGTGCTTTACATATATTTAATTCTCATGTCAACTTTGTGAAGTAAATACTATTTTAATTCCCATTTTATAGACAAAACTAAAGTTAACTGACTTGTGTAGGATTACACAACTAAGGAGAGATCGAGCTGGGATATGAACCCAGGAAGGCTGGCTCAAATCTGCTCTTAACTAGTAAACTGTGCTACAGAAGAATGTGAGCAGAATATGGCAAATGGGATTTTTAGTGTTTCTGGTGGGAGATGAAGAACACATGCTTTGTCTCTAGGGTTTTGCCACAGCTAGGTGACGCATACCTGTCCCTTTGCTGTAGGACATAGTTGGCAGTGGAAATAGAACATGTCAGTAGGAATACCTGCTCCTAGCTTCCTTGGTAGTCCTCTCTGCGATGGTCACAGAGCAGTGTTTGCATGTGACTTTTATTGTCCAGTGCTTGGCTCTGTGGAGAAGATGGAATTGGCCTAGAGCTGGGTGGAGAGTGTATTTTCAGCCCGTTTCATCCAGTATTGTGACGCATGCTTTTGTTTTTTGTTTTCAGTGTGATAGTTTGATTTAAGAAATGTTTATGGAAACAATTTTCAGATGCCATTAACTGAAAAAATAATGTTGTTTAATGAAATTCTACTTTGGATTCCAGATATGCACAGCTGCCTTGAATATTCCACTATGGTGTAAGAGTGATTGCTCTGTGCATTTCAAGATGTAAAAACAATGGCATAATTTTGAGTTCTGTCCATTTATTTCTAGGAACCCTAAGGACTCTGCAATATGAATAATTCTCTGGAGAACACCATCTCCTTTGAAGAATACATCCGAGTGAAGGCGCGGTCTGTCCCGCAACACAGGATGAAGGAATTTCTGGACTCACTAGCCTCCAAGGGGCCAGAAGCCCTTCAGGAGTTCCAGCAGACGGCTACCACTACTATGGTGTACCAACAGGGTGGGAACTGCATTTACACTGACAGCACCGAAGTGGCCGGATCTTTGCTTGAACTTGCCTGTCCGGTCACTACCAGTGTTCAGCCACAAACCCAGCAAGAACAGCAGATACAGGTTCAACAGCCACAGCAGGTTCAGGTAAAAGGGAAATGTTGAGGTGCATCCTATTTAATAGACTTTATTTGCCATCAGAATTTTGGTTAGTAGAGCATCACATCTGTATACAGATGGTTAGAGGTTATTCTCACTAGGGAGTATTCTAGGGGTTTTTGAAACATTTTATTTAACACAAGGGCTTTCATAGTTAACACTAATAATATTTGCAACTGTTGTAAACTGAAAAGACCACAGATACTTGCCTCTTGCTTTGCAGAATTGAACAGTATAGAAATTGGGGTCTTCTGGGACTGGATTTTGATGTGTTATAGCTCTGTGTGACTGAAGCTTCCCTTCTGTCTGTGTCACCCAGAGGAGATCAAGAACATAGAAAGGCTGGTCTTAGCTCATTACTAAAAAGCATGATATTTGGAACTTTTAAAATTTTATTTAAATTTTTTTGTGTGTAGTTTTTCTCTGAGAGGGGAGGTAATTAGGCTTATTTACTTATTTATTTTTGGAGGAGGTGCTGGGGATTGAACCCAGAACCTTGTGTATGCTAAGCATGCTCTCTACCACTTGCTCTATATCCTCCCACCTAGAACTTTTTTTTTAAACTGGAAAGGCTGTCATATTTTAGTCATCTTCAGTTTTATGGTTCCATGACTCAGGTCACCTGTAGATTTCTAGGCCTGCATTTGATATTTATAAGCCTTAAGAAATGCTACTAATTGATAATAAGCTTACTGAAAAAGGAGAAACTAATATATTTGCTGAGAAGGTACAAATTTTTCTCTTTACGGGGTCCTTGTGTGAAAGTAAATGTCCCCAGTTAAATTGCTGCTTTCTTGCTACTGTCTGTTGTGGTTGCATTTCATTTTGCCCTCGATGACTTTTCCACCAAGAGTATAGGAAAGGAAGTGGAACATGATGGAGAGGCAGGAGCCTGAAGAGATGTGTTTGTTGAGATAGAAGTCTTGGCCCCTTTGCCCCTTAGGAATGTAGGTGGGAAAATTGGAAGGGCTTTGGAGTTGCAAATTCCTGGGTTTAAATCTGACTTGAGCTTTTATTTGTTAACATGATCTTAATCTTTTTAGCTCTAGTTTTTCCATCTGTCAATAGAGTTAATACTGTTTAGTGAGACTGAATGAGATAACAAGAAAGTATCTGGCACATGAAGGGATGCAGTCATTTATTCCAGTCTTGGTAAGGAAGGAAGGGTACAGGAAAGGTAAATAAGAGAAGGCTGACTTTTCGGTTCAAGAAATTATTCTGCTGTTATTTACAGCTTGGACCTTCTTTTCCATTAGATTAAAATAGTTTGGGATTTGAGTTTAAAGTGTAGTTTAAGACTTTATGTTCAAGATGGCTAATTGAAATCACCTATTAACATCATCATCTTCCCCAAACCTCGTGTAAATGAAAGAAGAAATATAAATATAATAATAAACCAATGAGATAAGTACAATATGGTAGGCTCACATGTATTCATATTTTCCCATTCTGAGTGACTGAAAAGATACTTTAAAAAAATTTTTTTTCCTACCAGAGCTAGAAAAAACAAATACCATCAAAAAAAACCACTAAATCTGAGAAATTGCTCTAAGAGAGGATGCAAACAATCAGATGACAGGATTCATGTAGGAGAAAACTTTTGGGGAAGGTGAAACAGTTTTCAGGGTTCCTAATCTGAGAAGTGGAGATTCCAAAGAGCAGAAGGCTCCCGTGGGGACTCTTGGGACCTGTGGACTGGGAGTTGACCAAAGACTTTAAAATAGATACAGGCTCGTGTGTCTGCCTATGTTATGAGTAGATACCAGGTGTAGGATAAGGGTGGCTCTGCTGATCAGTGGACAAAGGATATTATTCTGTTAGTGAAGTAAGGCAATCTGCTCCTTTTTTGGAAATAAAGTCAGGTACCTCACATAATACAACTAAGGTTCAAATGGGTTGAAGAGTCAGATAAAAACAAAACAATGAAACTGTTAAAAGGCAGTATAGAAGATTTTTGTAGTTTTAGGTTGTGGAAAGCCTTCCTAAGGAAGAAAGTAAACTCTGAGATAGCTTTCCCAATCTTTTTTTTACCCTGAAAGTATCTTTGAAATAATTTTCAGGTCTCAGGGAATCCTTGCATAAAAATTACTATATTTACAGCTCATGGAATGTTAACTTGATCAGCAAGCGATATAATAATTCAATAATAGTTATCAGTGCTCTTTTGACAAGAATGATACGTATTTTTTTCTATGGATCTACATTTTGACCACCTTGTTAGGGTACTTTTTATGTGTGATTCTGTTCCCCACATACAGGTTGTCAGTTTTAATTCAAGTTATTTGTGTAGAGAATTCATTTGTTCTTTTTTAAAAAAATTTCCTACTTGAGGCCTTATTCTGTAGTCCTAAAAACCACAAATTTCTACTGTACAAGTTGCCAAGATATAGTTTGTGGTATATGATATGTGCAAGAGTAGTTTTTTCCCCCTTTATTTAAAATTAAAGATGACCTTTTAGCCAACCTTTCTTGAACCAAAGGGTAGTTAAGCCTTGCTTACCTTTCTTGAGACTAGTCTTTCTTCCCTTTTCATAAATTTTTGAAGTTCTTAAAGCAAATTTATTTTTATTGATAACTGGCTTAAGCCAGATGGGATTTAGTTTTTTCTAGAAGTTGACTTTCTAGATTGAATTTAAATAAAGATTGAAGATTGATACTAATTAATGTTACTTACTTGAAAAAAAATTTTTTAAGGCATCTGGGATTCCAGGCATCCTTTTTTTTTTCTGGTCAGGGGTTGGGGAGGTAATTAGGTTTATTTGTTTATTTTTATTTTAGCGGAGGTACTGGGGATTGAACAAAGGACCTTGTGCATGCTGAGTATGGGCTCTACCACTTGAGCTATACCCGCTGCTTGAAAATTGACAATTTTTATAAACCTAAAGCTATCAATATCATAAACCAGACAATATTAATAAATATATGGCTAAAGATACAACGTTAAATAAGACTTTGAAAAAACATTTTTTTTCTGAGTGATATCAGTCTCAAATATAGGCCTAGCAGTTACAAAATTATTTTATACACATGCTGGCTTCTTGATCTCTTTTATAGGTTTCTGTACTAAAAGTAGCACATGAGGCATAGAGAGGTTAAGTCATCTTCCAGTAACTAGCATTTGCACCCAAGCTGTCTTATCTTGAGCCTGTGCTCCTGGCTAGTACTCCTAATACACAAGGAACTTACAAACCAGAAAAAAATACTATAGTGGAAAAAGAAACAGAGGATATAAATAGCATATCAAAAGATGCTTCATGTGACTGGTGATTATGGAAGTGTAAACTTTAAAGTGAAATATCATATTTATTAAATAAAAAAACATTTATAAAGTTTTTACCCAGAGCAGCAAGGGTATGAAAGGATAAATTAGTGTATTTAGCAATACACTAGAAATGAATTTGGCAATACTTGTCAAGTATTTAAGAATGCATACCTTTGGCCTTGCATTTGTGTTGACAGATACGTGTGTATGTAAGAATATTCACTGCTGCATTGCTCGTAGTAGTAACATTAGAAACAAGTCACTCTTTCAGTAAGGGAAATGGCAAATAATGGTATAATTGTAGTGTATTGTCCTATGCAGCCAGAAGAAAGAGGTAGATCTATGCATATTGACAGAGTAGAGTGTTTAATATTTTCAGTTTAGTACTGGCTTTTAACATATGTAGAATGTAGTAATCCTTAAATAGTAGTAATAAAGCCCAAAGTAGTAATTGGAATGGGGAGTGGGATACGAAGGAGGAGAGCTTAAGTTTTTTTTGTTTTTTAAATTAAACATGAGTTACTTTTATAATAAAACCAAAAAGTGTTGCTTGGGAATATTTTGATTTGAACATATAGAGCATTGATCCGTAACCTCTTCTTCCTTATTCCAGACATCTCCATATGTCTGTGTTGATGTGTAAACCCCTTTGCTAGATGCTTGAGTATAGCATTGAACAGGACAGAAAACTCACTGATCTTGTGGCACATACATTATAGCTGGGAGGGTATAGATGATACATAAGATTAAAAAAAACTTGTTATATAGTGTGAAATGCAAAGGGAAAAAACAAATCAGATGGGGGTGGCCAGGGTAAGCCTTAATATGTGGGTGACATTTAAGTTAAGACCATAGAGAGTTGGTGAATGAGCTATGTGATTATCTGAGGAAAGAGCATTCCAAATCAGAAAGCCCCAAGGTGAGAGCTTGCTTATTTGAAAAACTGCAAAAAGGCTGTGTAACTAGAGTACACTGAGTGAAAGGATGAGACTAGAGAAGTGACGCATGCACTGAAATGTGGAGCTGAACAGACCTGTCTTCTCAACTCAGGTGTTAAAGGGCTCTTTGCCCCATAGTGTTTTCAGTCTAACCCTTTTGGTAAGAATGAAAAAATGCTTATATTAATGTTGTTTGAAATTTCAAAACAATTTGTTACCTTGAAGGCAGAGGTGATTTAAAATTAGATTGCTTTATTTTTAAAAAACCATTTGTCACCATCCCAGAGAGTTTGTTCTGTCCCCATGACTTTCTCATCCATCCAGCCTAGAAGCAGCACATCAGTTTTTGGATTTAATGTAACAGTTACATCCTTAGAAAAGTTTAGTGAACTGATGGGAGACAGTTCTATGTCAGAGGTTAATTAGAAGAGTAACTATCTGAATAAAACTCACTGTGTTCCTTTACCCTCTGCTACTACCACACGCAAACTTCTGGCTACCAAATGTATGTGTTTTTTCCCACAACAGCCAGTTTTTCAGTCAGCTGGCTGACCTATAATTCAACTCAGTTCTGACACTGTCTGCTTAAGAGTTAGCATCAGATCCCACAAGCTAAGGGATTGGTCTCACAAGACTGCCCCCTACTTTAGACACCAGTCGCAAGTCCCAGGTTGTCATGTGTACTTCTGACTAACTGGCTGTAAATTGGGGTTCTTACTACCTCTCCTTGAGTTTGATGATTTGCTAGAACAGCTCACAGAATTCAGGGAAACATGTTTAGCAGTTTATTATATAATAAAGGAAATGATAAAGGATACGGATGAACAGCAAGATAAAGAGATACATAGGGCAGGATTCTGAAGGGTCCTGAGCACAGGAGCTTCTGTCTACATGGAGTTGGGGCGCACTACCCTCCCAGTACATGGATGTATTCACCAACCCTGAACCCCATACTCTTGGGATTTTTATGGATGCTACATCACATAGGTGTGATTGATTAGTAAGTCAATTTCTAACCCCTCTTCCCTCTCCAGAGAATGGTGGTTGGTGCTGAAAGTACCAGGTTCTAATTATGGCTTGGTCTTCGTGGTGACCACACCCCATCCAGGAGCCCACCAATAGTCGCCTCATTAGATTACAGTATGTTCTTAGCACCTATATTATCACTTAGGAAATTACCAAGGTTTTAGGAGCTCTGACCAGGAATTAAAGACAAAGACTAAAAATTTATTTTTCATTATATCACAGTATCACAGTAGCATATGTCTAAGATAGGCACCTTTTTAAGGCAAAAGGAAGAGCTCTCATGTAAATACCTTAACAGTTTGTACAATACTAGGAAGGCTTAAGTTTCCTGTTGTTTATAGGTCTGCCTGAGCTAGGTGAAGGGAGTTCATTTGGAACTTCACTTTCAAGAGCTTTCTTGAGTTGGGTTACATTCTAAAGCATTCACATGGAGTTAAATGTGTATGCCAAAGAGAAGACCCTCTCATGTTGAGTTGGTTTCACTTGGCACCCATAGAATTGCTTGTTTCTTCTCTGCACTTCTACAGGGCTGGAACTGAGGCTTCTGACTCAGTGGGATCAGTCTGGCTCTGCTAAATGAAGGGTGCTTTGGGGAAGGGGATTTCTCAGCACTTGCTCCTTTGTTGCTAGAAGTAAAGATCCCAAGCCTTCAGCGGATCAAAGTGCAATTCTTCCTTATTTGTCATCCCAGCGTCTGTCCGTCTTCCTTTTTTTCTTTTTGCTGCTGCACATTCCCTCTTTGCTGGGACAGTGAGTCCCTAACCCTTCACTACAACGTAGAATTGCTGAGAATGAGGAACGAGGTCCTCAAGAGCAAGTTACTTTGAGAATTATGTAAAATAGTAAGTCCTGACTACACTCCCTGGCACATAGTCAGCCCTCAGTAAGTAAATAACAGCTGCTGTTTCTGTTTTCTTCCTCTTCTTCTCATTAGTGCTATTCCTACCTAGGGCCCCAGTTGCTTTTGAGACATTTGAAAACTATCCAGACAAATATTTATAACAAATATTCCCACTATGTTGGCAGTTTGCCATTTTTGCCTTTTCTTTTAAGACATAACGGCACAGATGCAGTTCAAATCTCTAGTACACCTCTGTGAATATCTTCTTCTTCCAAGGTAAATACTCTTAAAATTTTCAACTTGTGTTTTTTCTGTATCCATGAATTTTGGTTTTTAGTTAGAAGTACTGGGCAACATTCACCCTCTTCCCCTTAGTTTACTCAGAAGAAGAATTGACTAAAGGATAGTGGTTAGTTAGCTCAGGGAATTTATGGGAGGGCCAGAGAATGGGTCCTAAAGGCTACACAGCCAGGAATAGGAGTTAGGTCACATTGTTGTCTGCTCTGTCGGAGACATTCAGCCACACCCCTGGAACAGGTCCTTGTCCTACCGTTGTCTGTCATTGGGATTTATGCCATTCTGCTCCATTTCTGCCATAGTCCTCCACTGTTACCAGAAAATGGAGGTTGTGGTGCCTGCTACTTCATGTTGCTCCCTTCTGAGTCCAGATTTCATGCAGTGTGTCTAATTTGGGAAGCCTTGGTCACACGCCTGCACTCTAGCTGCAGGAGAGGTTGGGAGACTGATTCTAGCTTCTGCCTTGGGGAGGCCGAGCTCATAATGTGGTGTATTCTACAAACATGAGTTTGTAGCCAAAAACAGGACTAAAATCAGCTACTCTCTCTCTGGAGCTTTGTGGGCTGATTGGGATCCTAATCATTGCTTCATATTGGTGGATCATTTGTTGCTGCCTTTCCTGGCCCTTCATGTCCAGCCTTTTACCCACATTTAAATATCTTCCCTCAGCATGCCTAAGTTGATTTATATAGTAAGAGTTCGGTAAACGTTTCATACTTGGATAAAGATTTACCACAGAAGAGCATTATTTGAACAGTGAAATTCCGCCAAGTTTTCGCTGATGAGTTGTTAAAAGGCACAGGTGTGTTTGGATCCCAGGTGCTGTAATTCCTCACTCAGTGGGGTCTTCTGGTGCACTGAGCACTTCTCAGTAGTCCCTCCTCACTGAGACTCAGAACATGAAGTATTATGTGAGCCACATGTTATTCTAAATTTTCTTGTAGCCTTTTGTAAAAGAGAGGAAAGAATGAGGTGAAATTGACTCTTTTAAATCACATTTTATTTAACCTAATATATTATTTCTACATGTAATCAGTCCAATATTATTGATGAACTATTTTACCATTTTTGGCACAAATCTTTGAAATCTGATTGTGTTTTGCACTTGTAAGCACATTGTAATTTGGATTAGCCACAGTTAATTTGCTAACTACTAACTACATATAACTAATGGGTTTGGACCAGTGCAGCTTTAAAGAAATGGGAGAGAGGAGTTCTTTATTCTTCCTTGGGGAAATAAGAAAGTAGTTTAAAAAATTATTTGTGAGGTGGAATTTGGAAATTGACCCAACACACTCACCTACTTGATTCTCCTTTCAATAAAATACTGGTTTTACACTCAAAAGTAGCTCAAAGCAAGACAAATCAATCAATCAATCTGTACTTTCTTTTTTTTCAAGTGCCAGTGATTGGAAGAAGATTCCCAATAAGGATAATACGTGTGTTACTTCATTGTTTCTCATTGTTCCTTAGTTGGAGTACTTAGTCCTTATGTTGTGTTGAGCCTCTACTTACTTAGGTTCTGAATGACACTGAGAAAAAAGATTTTTCATTTGCAAACAAGTTAAGAACCTAGACAAGTGGGGTCCAGTATAACTTCTAGACTAATGGTTATCAAACTTTAGGTTACACTACAATCACCTGGAGGGTTTCTTAAAACAGAAATGGCTGCTGCCCCCCCCCCCATTCTAATTCAGTAGATCTGGGGTTGGTTCTGAGAATTTACACTTCCTTTTTATCCCTGCAGTTTTATTGAGATATGATTGACATGCAGCACTATATAAGTTTTAAGGTGTACGGCTTAATGCTTTGATTTGCATGTATCATGAAATGGTAACCATAATATGTTTAGTTAACATCCATCATCTCAGATACAGAAAAAGAAAAAAAATTTTTTCCTTTGTGATGAAAATTCACAATTTACTTTGTTAACTTTCATATCTATCATACAGCAGTGTTAACTCTAGGCATCATGTTGTATATTATATGCCTAGTACTTATTTATCTTACAGTTGGAAGTTTGTACCTTTTGACCACCTTCATCCAGTTACTTCTTCTACCCCCTGCCTCTGGTAACCACAAATCTGATCTCTTTTTCTGTGTTTCACTGGATTTTTGTTTGTTTTTTAGATTCTACTTACAAGTGAGATCATATGATATTTGACTTTCTCTGTCTGATTTATTTCACTTAGTACAATGCCCTCAGTGTCTATCCGTGTTGTCACAATTGGCAAGATTTCTTCCCTTTTTCAACTGAGTAATACCCAAAATATATATATTCCACAACTTCTTTATCCATTCAACATATTGATGGACACTTAGATTGTTTCCATGATTTGACCATTGTAAATAATGCTGTTGTGAACATGGGGATGCAAATGTCTCTTAAACAGTCTTTTCGTTTCCAGAGAAGGTACATTTCTAACAAATTCTAGGTTGATGCTGTTGTGGCTGATCTGTGGACCACATTCAGACGTACTTTCTGAAAAATTTAATTGATAGTGTATTCAATGAAATAAAGAATCTAGGAATGAAGTCATAAGAATAAAAGAAACAGAACCAGCTCAGAATCGAGATCTAATCCCAGTTTGGTAGACCCAGAATGCAGTCTGTCCAGGTTAGAATAGGAAATAAGAGTGCTCAAGAAGAAAGTAATTAGCATTAAACATATTATGTGATCAAGAGCCCAGAAGTATAGTTATTTTAAGTATATTTCTTCTGATCAACAGGAAAAAAAACCAATTAAAAACCTGGAAAAGGTGGTAGGGGGCACTGAATGAGAAATAATGATTTGGATGTGAAGGGAACTAAAATATAGTGTGATTTATGAGGGATTGATAGAAGGCAAGAAACAGTACTTTTTGAAACAGTAAAACCAAACTCTTTGTCAGGTAGGCTAATCCTTCTTGTTCCTCCTTTTGGAGGGCAGGATAGAACATGATGATTGGAGCTCGCATGACTCGTGATTAATGGACTTGCTACACCCAGATTGTTCCTGTCTGATTCTTCCTGACAATCTCACCCATAAATATGTTAGAAAGAGAAGTATATATATGTTTTTTGAGTCTTTGATATGTCTATACAAACACATCTCTGCCCCAAAGCTGGAATGAGACACATGAAAAAGCTTTGTGTGAGTTTCCTTTGAAGGTGTTAATTAAATGATTAAAACTTGGGGGGGAAAAAAAAGCAAATTCATTCCCCTAGAAATGATCCCCCTACTCCATTGAAATATAACTTTTCTAGCATACACATGGCTTTGAGATGATCTTTTTCCTTTTCATATTTCTTCAGAATCACCTTAAAGATCTAGGTTTAAGTTTCAAACTGCCTTTAAAAAATTTTTTTGTTGTTGTTTATGTATCAGTCCATCAGTTGATTTTATGAGACAATTTACCTTGGGATTTTATTTATTTATTTATTTGGTGGTGGTGGTGGTAGGGAGTAGGTAATTATGTATTTATTTTAATGGATGTACTGGGGATTGAACCCAAGACCTCATGCATGTTAAGCATGCACTCCACCACTGAGCTATATCCTCCCGCCTACCTAGATATTTTAACCTTGAAAATTATAGCTAAACCCATTTTGAAACAGATAATAAAGCACAATACCAACCTTTAAATACCGTCCTTAGATTTTTTTTCTTTTTCTCTTTTTTTTTAAAGGAGGAATCTTTTAGGAGCTTTCTTATTTTGAAGAAATACTTATCTGAAATTCAGTGATTCCTTCAATTCACTTGAATTTTGTTTTCTCCTAAGTTCAAGTAAAATTTAAAAGAATTTTTTTTTCCACTTTGCAGTTTCCAAAGTTTACTGTGACTATGTGGTAATTATTTAACCAGATAAAAAGCTATATTTTTGTATAAAAAACATGAAGGGAGGTAATACAAATAATATTCAATTTCTTACTGACTTCTGATACTTGCGGGTAAAGGTTATAAATATATAATTGATTTCTTATTCAATATGTTGGCATTGGTAAGGAAATATCAGAATGTGCTTGAACTTCTACTCCCCTAATTTTAAATTCTAACTACTTTAGATATAAAATGGCATCACGTTATTTGTACTTGTTTGTTCTGTAGTGAGGGTAGATGCCTTCACTTCTGATTCTTTAGTGTTTTTGCTGACTTGTTTCTGTTGGAAGCTTTATTTTATTTATTTTTTTGGAAGCTTTATTGTTGATAAATGGTTTCTAAGAAATTTCAGTTTAAAGAGATACAGTAAAATCTAAGTATATGAACTATAATTCAATCAGTGAAAATAAGCAGATTTTTGAAATTTTGTTCTTAAGCAAGTAATAATATAGTTATAAAACATACTGTGTATTTAACTTCACAGCATTGGTTCTTAAAGGGTAGTTCAGAGATTGATATTCCCTAACACCCTTTGAGGGTTCCTCAGAGTTAAAGCTGTTTGTATCATGATACTAAGATGTTATTTGCCTTTTTGACTGTCATTCTCTCATGAGTGTACAGTAGAATTTTGCAGAGGCCATGTATGTGTTTGTAACAAATTGAATGCAGAAGCACATGTGAGAATCCAGCTGTCTTCAATTAAATCAGCCATTAAAGAGATTTGCAAAAATGTAAAATAATGCAACTCTTATAATTTTTTTGTTTTGGCAAATAGTTATTTTTCATAAGAATATATTATTTATGTTACATTTATATTGGTTTATGTGGTGATTTTTAATGAATTAATGTTTTTCTAAGTCTCCTAGTTTTACTTTCTAATACAGTAAATAGTGATGTCTATACTTATGTAAACAAAAGCTCTTTGGGGTCCTCAGTAAGTTTTTGGAAAGGTCTTGAGACCAAAAAGCTTGAAAACTGTTTTTCTGTCGTAATTGGCTTCATAGTTTTATGTCCTTAGTGTCAAGCACTGAATCTCAAACTTGAGCATGCATCAGTCATCTGGAAGACTTGTTAAGATACAGAAAGTTGGGCCTATTCTGCAGAGTTTTCTGATTTAATAGTTTTGAGGTGGGACCTGAGAGTTTCTATTTTTAACAAGTACCTGGATGATGATAGTGGCCTGGAAACTACATTTTGAGACTCATTGATGTAAAGAATATTGCTTATAAGGAAGAAAACCTACTTTTTGAGCATCTACTATGTGTCAGTAAATATTTTATGCTCACAGCAACTCTGTGCAGGTAGGCAGTCTCCTCCTTTTTATTGTACCCAAGGAAACAAAAACTTTGGAGGACTCGGAGCCAGGAAGGTAAAGCGTCAGTCCAAGTCTGTGTTCTCAAGATCTTTTGTTTTTTATACAATTGCCTCCTTGCTTATCTTTTTTTAATTATCAGTGGCTTTATTGAGATATAATTCTCATATCATGTAATTCACCCATTTAAAGCTTACAACTTAGTGGTTTTTAATCTATTCACAGTGAAGTGCAACCATTACCACATCAATTTTAGAACATTCTCGTCATCCCCAGAAGAAACCCTGTACCCATTAGCAGTTACTTTGTATTTTCCCCAATCCTCAGCTCCTGGACAACCACTAATCTCCTTTCTGTTGCTACAGATATGCCTGTTTTAGACATTTGTATAAATGGAATCATACAACATGTAGTCCTCTGTGACTGAATTCATTTAGCGTAAGGTTTTCAAGATTCATCTGTGTGGCAGCATGTATCAAAATTTTATTTATTTATTTTCTTACTAAAGAAGAAAATTCTGTTGTATGGAAATTTTATCCGTCAGTTGATTGCTATTTGGGTTGTTACCACTTTTTTGATTATTGTGAATAATGATGCCATTAACATTCATGTCCAAGTTTTTATATGAGTATAGTTTTCATTTCTCTTGGGTATGTACCTAGGAGTGGAATTGCTGGGTCATGTGGTTTATTTTTCATATCTTTGTCATATGCTATGTTTACCCTTTTGATGAACTGCCAGACTATTTTCAAAAGCAGCTACACCAAATTTACATTCCCACCAGCAATGTATTGAGGATTCTAATTTTTCACATGGTCACTAACATTTATTATCTTTTTTTATTATAGCCGTCGTAGTGAATTTAAAGTGGTATCTCATTTTGCTTTTGATTTGCATTTCCCTGACAGCTAATGATGTTGAATAACTTTTTGTGTGCTTACTGGCCATTTGCATATCTTTTTTGGAGAAATGTCTATTCAGACTGTCTTTCATTTTTTGTTTATGATATGAGGAAGAGGTCCAACTTCATTATTTTTGTATGGATACCCAGTTGTCCCAGCACCATCCTTGGTTATCTTTTGTGTTATGTATAATCACTCATCTGCCGCCTTTTCTACCTTCCTAATTCCTACATGCTTTTAGAATCATTTAGATATGTGTGTTTGATGGAAAAATCTTTTCTTTTTTAAAATTACATACTGTGAATAGCATTGTTTCATGCTGCTTTGTATGCTGAAGTAACAGCAATAAAACATGAGCTGTATTATTAGAAGTGTGTTGTCCAGGATATAGTAACCTTACTTAGATTAAATTATCTGGAATCTTGTGGGAGTTTTTACTGTCTTCTCTGTTAAAACAAAAGTGTCTTAAACACTTTAAAGAATATTCAGTGCCTGCATCTTAGCAAAGTTGGAGATACCTCCAAGATTTCAAACATTTTGTCTCTACTGTGTTTTATGGTAGTTGTTTGTGGGGGAGTATTTTTGGTCGTGAGTTGGAAGTTGAATGCCTGTGGAATGCACTTGTCTTTCTGACCTTTTAGAAGTGTCCCCACACTCTTATCATTAACCACATGGATTAAGTATTTTTGAACATACACCTAAATTTATATTTATTAATTATATTCTTGTACTTCATATGTAAATTATATGACTGTATATCACTATGCAAAAACAAAAAGGGTCACATTTACAGAGAAAAGTTAAGAAATGAGCAAAAGTTTTGATATTTCCCAGTTGATAGTATTGCTTTCTCTCAGGTAGATAGGTATGTGTTGCTCTGAATGCAGTGTGATGCTGGAGAATTTTGTGTATGGTTTTGGGGATTGTGGCCTCCTCAGAAGCCTTGGGTATGGCTGCCCCTCCTCCTCACATTACCCAGGGTTTCTCCCTGAGATCTCGTCTTCCCTTTGGGGCTGGATTCTCAATGTTGCATGGTTCACTCACTGGTGGATCTTGTCACTGCAGGTACAGGTGCAGGTACAGCAGTCTCCGCAGCAGGTCTTGGCTCAGCAGCTCTCCCCGCAACTCACCGTTCACCAGCCTGCTGAGCAGCCCATCCAGGTCCAGGTGCAGATCCAAGGCCAAGCAGCACAGCCGGCAGCCCCCTCCATCC